TCAACTCGCCAGACGCCTTCGAGACGGCTCTGGCGTCCCACGAGCAAAGTGAATCCCCCATGGCAAGCGTCCGAGTGAAGTAGACCCCCCCCCCATGACCGTAGCCGGCGTTGCTAAGTCTGTGTACAGAGCGGGGTGGGAACAGGCCATGAGGAAGAGTTTGAAGGGCACTTGGACAAGGGGACTTTTTCATTCGTAGACGGCGCGCCAGAGGGGCGCAGGCCTGTGAGCTCAAAGTGGTGTTTTAGTTAGAAGACCAACAAGGAAGGGAAGATAGACACGTTCAAAGCGCGTCTGGTTGCTAGGGGGTTTTCGCAAATCCCGAACGTCGATTATTTCCATTCGTCTTCCCCTTGCCCCTCATCCGCATCCATTAAGCTGATGCTTGCGGTAGCGAACGAGAAGGGCATGAACCTCNATCCGCATCCATCAAACTGATGCTTGCGGTAGCAAACGAGAAGGGCATGAACCTCAATCGCTGGGATGTGAAGCAGGCGTACACACACGCCACGCTAGATGAACAGGTTTTTTTTAGGCTCCCCGCTGGGTGCGGGGACAAATCGCATAAGATTGTTAAGGCTGAGCGTGCGATTTATGGTCTGAAGCAGAGCGGTAGGCAGTGGGGGTACCACGCTGCTGATACGCTAGTCGAGAACGGGTTCGAGCAGTGCAAGGCGGACGCGTGCGTTTTCCGCAAGATGGTAGACGAAGTCGTGTTGATGATTATCGCGATTTATGTGGATGACATTTTGGTGGCTGGGTCTGACGAGGATTGCGAGGAGTTGCTTGCTTCTCTCAACAAGTTCTTCCCCACCAAAAATCTCGGAGAATGCGAATGGTTTGACGGGTGTGCCATCGAGAGAGATATGGAGGCTGGGACTCTATATAGAGGCCGGGACTCTTGAAGTCTCGCATACCGCACACATCGACAGCATGGTGAAACGCTTTGATGTACAATCGACCTCCCGCATCCCTGCCTCCCCTGGTGTCGACCTAGGACCGAAGTGAGATGACGAGAAGGGAGGGGGGTGGCCGGTGAAGGAGGCCATCGGCAGCATGATGTGGGTGTCGACGTTCTCGCGTCCAGACGTCTCGTTCGCCGTGCGTGCGGTAGCGCGCCACGCCCACGCCCCGGCGAAGCGGCACTGGGATGCCATACAGAAGATCCTCGGCTACCTGAAAGGGACGAGGGACCTCGGCATCACCTACCAACGGGGATCGGGGTTAGGGCTGGCCGTGTACGTAGACGCTAGCTACGCCGACACGGAGGATAGGCGTTCGGTGTCAGGGTTGGCGACGACGGTTGGAGGTACCGTAGTCAGCCATGGTAGCAAGACGCAGAGTATCGTGTCTTTGTCTTCAACGGAAGCCGAGTACATAGCTGCCGGGGAGGGCGTCATGGAGGCGTTGATTGTGCGTGCTGTGCTTTCGTTTGTTGCCCCAGAGACCAGTGGTAGCAGCATCCAGGTCCTTGAGGACAACCAGGGGGCCATAGCGTTGGTGCAGAACCCCCTCAGCTCAGGTCGCACGAAACTCATCGACGTGAGATTTCATTTCATTCGCTGATTGTTTAGGTCGGGGGATATTTCGGTCAAGTTTGTTCCGACAACGGAGCAACACGCGAACCTCCTAACCAAGGCCCTTAGCAGGGCCAGTCTGCAGTACCACCGGCGCAAGCTGATGAATTTGCCGGAGTAGATGTAGCAGTTTTTAGCACTTGCCTTGGATTTTTTGGTAAGTGCGGCCGTTGTAAGCCGCTGTGATAGCGACGGTTTTTTGTGGGGAGTGGTTTTTTTTTCGAGTGGTTTTGCCCGGACGCCGGGTTTCCCCTCCATATATTACCATGTTGGTGTTTTATTTTCTGATGTATCCAAGGGCGCCCTTGCCCCATCGATGGTTAGTCACTTGCGCGAAGAACCAGGGAGGGTGTTCGTGGGTCTGCGAACATTGGTGTTGGATATATGTGTTGGATGATTTGATGTCACGCAGACTAGTAAGGTTGCCGTTTGGTAGGGGTCATCGCGATGATTCACGGGGCCCCTCCTTGCTGTGGGAGCCGCTCTTTGAGCACTCCCTCTTTCGTCCGTGTGAAGGACGGTCGTCTACCTCTCGTGAAGTTAATACATCACCAAACCAGTCTCATCCGATAAATATGTGGCGTAGGCCGCAAACAGTGCAAGCCTTGGTGCTTATCGTGCGAAAAGAGTAAAGCAGTGCGTCCGTCCAAAGTATTCATGAAGAAATGCACTCGACAGCAGAACTCGGCACGACGTACATGAAAACACACCTCGCCAGGAACAAAACTCTCAACCTAGCAGCCCGGAACACAACTATGGCAGCAAGACGGAGTTAGCTCACTCATTCCGTTCATCTAGCACAATGTTGCCAAGGTTCTCTTCCTCACTTTCTTGTTCCACACTGCCCCTCTCTTGTTGGTGTACGCGTCAGCCATGCTGACTACCGTTGGGATCCTCACGCAATCGCTGATGTCTTGCCTTGGGTCCTCTCCCGAACAGTACGGGGTCAGAAGTCTTGCTCGGGTGTGGTAGTACCCACGAAATGGGCGAGGGGTGCACAAATCAGGAGAAAAAAATGAGCAAGAGAGTCGACGCGTGTGTCGTCAACATAACGGATTAAAACAGACAAAATAAATGTCCATAACGCAGCAGACGTGACTCTACCCTCACACATCCCCTCGCAAAACGATCTCGAACAAGCACGTCGGCTTTATTTGAGGGCACGTCAATTTCAAGAACAGCGAGACCACCACGGACAAGAGTTCTCTCAAGCAGCACGGAGTCCATCGAGTTGGATCAGGGGGCATATATATGTGAGAAAAGCACAATTTCAGTAGATTTTTCCAATTTTTTTCCGAAAGCGCAACAATAGCACTTGTCTCTTTTCGCAGCAGCGCCAAGAAACATCGAAACATTGGATGACATCTGTGGGAAATACTTCTGCAATACACCTCTCACACATTGCTCCATCTGTGAAAAAATCGATTGGATGCAGATATATCCTTCACACTACGGTGCGGACATAGAATCACTCACTCTGCTGCGGCAGAGTTGCCCTCGCGAACCCCGCCTAAGAAAGAATCGACACCCAACAGGGTCTTGAACGTCGGCTTCACGTGTTTGGTCTCGGATGTCAAGTTAAAGCCGTCGGCCTCAACAAATCGCCTGTTTCAGCAAGTTATGAAGAACCCGCGAGAGAGAGGAGGGGAGTGCGATAATTCGTAAGGGAAAGAGCGAGTTCCGACAACAGAGCAGGTGGGGGGCAGCGGGAAAGTTCTTGCTTGGTTCAGCCGACTAGAAGAAAGAAGCACGTAAGGCTACGCAAATAAATGCGAGCACGAAACCCTCGATCGCACAGCTTGAGGGCGTTAAGCAAGTGAACGTGCGAGTAAAGCGAATTTTTCGAGTTTGATCGGATCCACCAGGGAATTTGAAGCAACATAGATCGAGATGAAAGAGAGCAGCCATCGTAGTATGGATTCGCTGGAGAGGGGCGAATCACCACGCCCTTTCCACATGAGGCACCTTTTTTGCCCGTAAATACAAAGAATGACATATTCTTACCGCTGTTGCCCTGAACTACCGTGCCATAACCCACTCAGTGGCAATTCTAACTCCGCGCACACTTAGGGCGGACTGCAAGACCGTACCCGAGCCGGGGGGTGCTGCGCGACCTGTCCCCAACGCAGTTTCCTCACACAGAAATGCATGAGCTACTTGGACCCGCACCCCACACTTGACGTCCAAATCGGCGACAGTTCGTTCTCTTTCATCCGATCTACCGGTCGTTTCGCTAGCTGTTCCTACCTCACCTGATGGACTTGTTCCAACTGAATGAGTGATGGATGCATCATATCCACTATGCTACAAATCTTGTGTACATCAAACGAAGAGCTCCGAGGTCACACAGCTTACTGCAGCTCATACCTTCTGTTGTACCGAGAGAAGTTTTCAGCCGTCTTTCTCTCAAGAGTACTCGCGAAAGGGCAACCATGGCAAGGTCTAATGGCAAAACACCCACCTGAGCAGCGAGTTTTGCGAGATGGGGAAGTAGGACTGAAACGTCTTGACGAAGTCGAGGTCGTGGGCAGGCGCCAGCGATCCGGGGGCCCATGCCAGGTCGGGCCTGCGAACCACGACGGCTCCCTGGATGTGCGACATCTCCTCTCCGAGGTCACCTCCCCGATACGTGTGCAGGTGGGTCCCCTTCATGGATAGAGATAGAGAGAGCGAGAGGGAGAGAGAGAAACCAGGTGCTGCAGGTGATATATTTGTGTACGCTTGTGGGTAGGAACAGGCCAGAGCAACCGCAAAAAAAGCCAGAGTGATATCACACAGCAGTGGTACAACCAAGAACGAACGAAGGAACAGAAACGAGTGGACAACCAAGCGCAGACACATGCGAATAATGAAGATATGGGCAACATTTTACATCCAAAGACAAGTATGTCTAGGCTCGACACTCACAAGACAGCACGGCGGACTCGGGCATCGCAGTTGCGAGGATATATTTAGGGCCTCCTGAAGCCTAGCCCAGACGGAAAAGGCGCCGACAATCGTAGTCGGCGGCTCGGCGTTTTCTCGGTCTTCTCGCAGTACTGCAGAGTTGGAGACATGGAGGGCAACCGGACAGTTGGCGTTATGTGGCGATTGGTAGATCTGCGGCAATGAGTTACTCCCATCTTCTGGGATCTCTGGTTCAAAAGAGAGCTCCGGGTGCCCTTCTGTTATGTCCAGTTTTCGAGACTCTTGCCGCCACTCCTGCTGGTGACGGTGGTTCCGTGATGAAACCGGGGCATATGGAATACGCTCCTGCTCGGCCTGCAGCTGCGGTTGAGGTTGTTGGTGGCTTCCTCGCGGAGATGGATATCCTTGACGGCGCAGCCCGTTTTGGCGAGGCCAATCTCGCCCTGATGCTGCTGCTGTTGCTGCTGTTGCCGCTTCATCCCCCCTGCTTCCGCCTCCCGGTCGAATGATTGGAGATTTATCGGCTAGGGCTGGTGGCATTGTCAGGTAGTTCTGCGCGAGCACCGTCGTCAGCAAGAGGCCCTGCACAGCCTGTTCAGGCGAAACAACCAAGTTTGGGGAGCAATACACGCGGCAAGCACTATTTTTCGATTTTGACTTCACGGTTGACATTGCGACAACCAACAATTCTACTTTCGACTGTCGTAGCCTGGCAAACGTTCGTGGTATTGTTGGCGTCGCCGTATAGTAGTGTCGGCATGGCGGATAAAAAAATTTCGAAACGATCTACATTTTTTGACAACCTGCCCGTCATCCTAGCGGTATCAATCTGACTTAACAGCAAAACTGGTCTTCGGTATCAATAGAGTCATGGCATTTCGGACGTCAGGGTGAACCGCTATGAGTTTGCGTGTTGGGTGGATATGATGCCTACCTGCGTCGATCTTGATGCCCATTTCTTTATCGTGGAGCCCGTTTGCCTCGTTTTCCTCATTTGTTCCCCTTACATACGTGGCGTGCGCGGCGAGTTTCCTGTCGTCGCGGATGTAGTCGTCACCGTTTCACAGAAACAAGCGGATTGAGACGTCGATGCAACAAGGGCTCCGGACTTCGGGCGCCATAGGCGCCCAAGCCCTCATGATTCGGCTAGAAATATTCATTCCAACGTCAATGATGCTGGTGGTGAAAGGCACTGGGTTGAGGATGTGCGAATCGCACATGCCAAGGGCACGATGAAGGAAAATGGTCCCTTTAGGCATAGGCTTGTTGCTCATTGCAGACAACAATATAACGTAGAATCGTGACAGCTGCATTGGCAATGAAGCCGTGGTTTACTCCTCCGTCTAGTCTGATGCGGTACGCCTTACCCTGTAAAATTGACCGGTATTCAGGTGGTTCAGGTACAGTCGACCCCTCTTTAAGGACGTACACGGTATTTCCTGAACAACAGCGTTCTCAAGGCGGGGTTGCGTCCTGAAAATTCAGGGGACGATAGCTCACCATCCCCGAGGCAAATGGAGGCATGCTATACTTCAAACTAAGGAAGGGGGTGGTACGAAAGCCAGCATCGCCGAGACGACTGGTAACTGTTTGTTGACGTCGAACATATTTACAATACTTGAAATGAGATGTACAGCAGTCAGGGACGTGTTGAAAACAACTACAGTGCACCAGTTTGTTCTTGGCCAACTAATGTACTGGATAGTCGGCAGCGGAAGAAGGAGGAAAGTCCAAATAGACATCTATTTATCTCATTCGTGAAACATAAAAAAAACGAGCGCACTTCAGCGTCGCACCGAGGAACACGAGTCAGTACATATCACTGTCCCGGCGGAGACCAAAAGCTACCCTGATGCTTTTTCCTTCCACATATCGCAAAGAGTTCTCTGAACCTCCCCCCGCGGCGTGGCTCTACGGCTCTGTTGAGTTTCATGAGTTAACGAATGAACGGTCTTCGAAAGAAGGTACAGCGTGTCACGGTACTCGCCACCCCTTCCCTTAGGTTACAAATACAGATCGCCTGCAGTTAAGAAACATTCTGTTCAGAAAGAAGGCTCAACTTTGTACGAAAAACAAGAAAAAAGGGCTGAGAAACATTGCTCGATCTCGGCCACAACGTAAGAAATGCCCCTATAAGAAACGTGATGGTGCGATACCCCCATGACATCAGAAATCTGCGGTGCTCCCAACCCCCTCCCAAGCTGAGCAGAAGTGCATTATTTTTGTAGGGGGTAGAGTCCCCCATCCCCCCCCCCCCGCACCCCTACTGTTCATAGTGAGTGCTGTACTGTAGTACTGCCACACATCGCGGACAACCATATGCTCTCCGCTGTTGTACGGGTTTGATGGCACTCTCCACCACCTCTCTTGAGGGCTTGATGATGTGGATTGTCCTCAGAGATCAAAATACAGAAAAAATAAAATACGGTGTTTCTCTCTTGGTGTGACCGGTGGCAGTATCGATCAGCAATGCCGCNGCAGAAGTGCATTATTTTTGTAGGGGGTAGAGTCCCCCATCCCCCCCCCCCCGCACCCCTACTGTTCATAGTGAGTGCTGTACTGTAGTACTGCCACACATCGCGGACAACCATATGCTCTCCGCTGTTGTACGGGTTTGATGGCACTCTCCACCACCTCTCTTGAGGGCTTGATGATGTGGATTGTCCTCAGAGATCAAAATACAGAAAAAATAAAATACGGTGTTTCTCTCTTGGTGTGACCGGTGGCAGTATCGATCAGCAATGCCGCACAGAATTTTGCGCGCCGAAATATGCGTGCGACAGCTGTAACCTAACTACTTCGGTGGAAAGCGGATTCTGTTCGATACGGTGTCAGGGGCACCAGGGAAGACGGGGCCGAGTTTTGTTTGATTTCGGGTGGATGAGGTTGGGGTTTTGTTCGTTTTTCTCCGTCTAAGGTTCGTGCCTAGAGTTCAGCTGTAGTGTTTCAACCAAACAAAGTTTTGTTGACTTAGAGGCAAACATTCCTAGCTATTGGGCATCGAGTTAATTTGGCTTACCATGACGGCCTTTACGATCGACTTTTTATGTATGTCTGCATTTATCTACAATTGTCGGAGGGCAAAACATTTTGGACGTCGGACGTCCAATGGGAGGCTGCGTCGGATGCCCGTATTAATTATCGGCGAAGAGACGCCTTGGACGTCTTATTGGACGTCCGACGCGATTTGGCACTAGACGCACGTAACCCAAACAGATACATGCATGTAATGGTACGGTCATCAGTCGTGACTTGTGTTTCCTGCTGCTACGTCAATGTAATGGGCACACTGTTCGTGATAGTTGCTGCTGTGTGTGTCGACAGAGTGACGTAGAACAATTGATCGGACAGTTTGCATTGCGGGACTGTCTGCGTTGAAGATCGTTGAGTAGCCACATATTATCAGAACAGCTAAGGAACGTTCTGTGGGAATGTTCTTCGTGGATGGTGCATTACCCCGAGTGTGTTTCTTGTGGAAAGTGCATCAGTCAGAGGATTCATGGTACGTTGTGAAGTACGTTGGCCCCTGTCTGTTGAGTCTTTGTGTTGCGATATCATTGTGTTCTGCTTTTGTGCGTTGGTCGAGCGACACGGGTGGTGGCTGCGGTGCTGCGGTGCTGTGGTGCTCCCCACCCTTGCTCACTTCACCAATTGACCTGTTCTCTTGGTCCAAGGTCTCAACAATAAAACATCTTTTCCCCAGAAGCCACGAGTTTACCAACACACGCGATGGGGGTTCCATCCGTTGGCGCGGGCGTCCAATGCGACGGCCCACGTATCCCATTGGACGTTCCACGGATGTTTGATGTCCAATGGTGTCCCATGGGACTTCCAACGTGTCGCATGGGACACCTTGGAAGCCCACTTTTGAAGGTGTGACGCCCCATAGAACGACTGAGACGATGGGAGGGATACTTGTCACATGCCAATGACACATATGGATATGTCGGTCCGAGTGTACAACAATAGATTTTCATAACACGGGGCGAAGGAGGCTGCGTGCTATGTTAGTCCTACCTTGCGGCTAGCGGAAGCACGTAGGGCACATAAGACGCGTAGGACGCGTTGGGCGTCCAATGGGAGGTTCAAGACATCTAATCGGAAGAATCCGACGTCCAATGGGACCCTCGTGGGCGTGTTCCATGGCTTCCCACGCCATTGGACGTCCAGCGTGTCCCACGGCACGTCCCACGTCCCACGTCAAATTGGACGCCCAACGCGTCCCAACGCCGTACTCGGAGTGTTCTGAGTAAGTACACTCCAACTCGGTTGGTAAGTACGGCTGAGTAGTTTTGAAACACTTACTAAAACGCATGAGTGCGGACGAGTATTTTACATACTTACTCAATATCCCGAGTATCGACAAGTATTGTCGAAATACTTTCTCAACCTCCTCAGTATGGTTGAGTCAGTACTATTTAATACTCTTACCCCTGGAAAGATTCTCATATCCGGTGAATACCCCCGGAGACTAGAAGATGACAAGTAACGACGTCAGTCACTAGTGCGGGGCATTTCCTGCGGGCCTTGCGTGCACTACCGCCACACACACGCTCTGCTGCTGCACATCATCGCTCGCGACAAAATGAAGCGATGCTCAATACTCGAAAACAAATACTCATCGGGTAGGGGTAGTGGCGAAGTTCATCAGTGACGCAGCTGCTACAACATGCAGCGGCACCCGCCCATCCGATTCATCACCCTCGAGGCAGCAGTAGCAGCAGCAGCAGCAGGAACACAAGATGTGCCTGCGCTAGTGTTGAAGCGTTGCCACGCGTTGTTCTTTGCTGACAGTGAAAAACGGTTACGGGTGGTTTCATTCAGCCGCTCTGACATCCATCAAAGACCCCTCCGTACACTGCACCGCAGCAAAAGATAAACATATTATGGTGGCTGTGTTTTTTGTGCTATACAAGTACGAGATGTCCGTATGCTACGCGTAAAATACCCGCGCACATGGAGTATTTGTATTCTTGGGTACGCTGAGTGCGAATAGTTGGAGTAACTGGAGCCATGCCTCGGAGTAATCCGGTAGGCGGGGCATGGTTGAGTAAAGGTTAGTACAATATGACGTACTTGCTCAAATGCCTGAATACGCGTGAAGTAGTTCTGAAATACTTCCCAAATCTCCTGAGTGATAATAATGAGTAGTCTAGTCTTGAAATACTTACTTGAACGACAATTCTATTTGCTCCACCGGTGAGGTAAACTCTTTTTTTGCTTCACCAGGCAAATCTCCACCCTAAGAGCTCCGATCGACCTCAAACCAATTGCTTGATTCAACCGGTGGCTGCAGAGATATGCCGAAAAGGGGGTTTCGCAGGATGTCAAGAAGCAGTAATTGTCTTGAATTTCCGTCCACACAGCTCCAATTGGCCTCAAATAGTTTGCGTCGTGTACGCACGGTCCACGTCGTTCTTCCAAGCTATCGGACACTCCCATCCGATATGTTCCCGCAGAAATATGGTCAACAGAGGGGGTTCCGCAGCATCTAGGGAGGGAGTGAATGACAATTTTCCCGCTATTCTTCCCGTCATGTAGCTGAACCGCGCCTAACTCTTTCCTCACCGTGCTTGCACGATCTACAGCTATCATTCCAGCCATTGTGCACCCCAATCGGACCAGTGGATGCAGACAAGCACCCACCCGCGGGGGTTCAGTGGCTCAAGGGCCGGTGGAACAGATAACGTAAAGGGTGCTATGTGCCCTACCAAGGGTTTCATTTTTTTTTTTTTTCATCATTAGACTCTGTCGTCTGCCCCTCTGGCGCCTATCCTCCACTTCTACCAGCTAGACGACCCAACCGGGTTCACATAGGAAGGGGGGGTTGGACCCCTCCTGCGGTTCCTGCCTGAGATATTTTTATCGCGAGAAAGGTACAGCAATCCCTTCCCTCGCGACTTATGAAGTCGATCAAGTTTGCTAACAACGAGCTTTGCAGCGCGTCGCTTCCAACGGAGACCAGGATTTAATTAGCGAGAAAAACCTCACTCTGTCGGGAATCGAACCCATGACCTGTCCCTTAGCGGGCTGCGAGGCTACCCTCTAGACTACCTGGGCAACCGGTGCATGTACATTGTGTCGGCACGGCTCACAGCTATCATTCCAGCCTTCGGTCACCCCGATCGGACCAGGGGATGCGGAGAAACACGTACCCACGGGGGCTCAGTGGCTCAACGGCCGGTGGAGCAGACAAGCTTGACTGCTCCACCAGATCAAACTCTATTATAAAGGGTGACGTTTGCCCTACGACGGCTTGTTTTGTGTTGTGGCGACTCACAGCTATGATTCAGGCAATCGGACACCCCGATCGGACCAGTGGATGCGGAGAAACACCCTCCCACGGGGGCTCAGCGGCGTACGAGCCGGTGGAGCGGATAAGCTTATCTGCTCCACCAGGCCAAACTCTTATCTACTTGGCGCTGTTTGTCTTACAAAGGATTTCATTGTGTTGGCACGACCCGAAGCCATCATTCAAGCCATCGGGCACCCCGATCGGATCAGTGGGTGCAGAGAAACACCCACCCACGGGGGTGCAGCGGCTCAAGGGCCGGTGGATCAGTTAAGCTCAACTGCTCCACCAGGCCAAACTCCATCCGCATGACATTGCTTGTCCTACGAAGGCTTGCATTGGGTTGGAACGGCCCACAGCTATCGTACAAGCCATCGGGCACCCTAATCGGACCAGGGGTTGCAGAGAAACGTCCACCAACGGGGAGTCATGTCTCAAAGGCCGGCTCGAAGGCCGGTGGAGCAGTTCTGTCGCCTTTTAGCCGTTCCCTCGTCAGATTCACTGCATGCCCTCATCAGATACACAGTATTCCTTGATCAGATACGCTGTATTCCCTGAGCAGATGCGCTGTATTCCCTCCTTAGATACACTGCATTCCCTCATCAGATACGCTGTATTCCCTCCTCAGATACACTGTATTCCCTGATCCGATATGCTGTATTCCCTGAGCAGATGCACTGTATTTCAGATACAGTGTATTGCCTGAGCATCTTGTATTCCCTCATCAGATTCGCTGTATTCCCTGAGCAGATTCACTCCATTCCACGGAGTGCAGCGTATCTGATGAGGGAATACAGTGAAACGAACGAGGAAATACTGTGTATCGGAAAAGGGAACACAGTAGATCTGATAATGGAATACAGTAAAAAGTACAAGGAATATGGTGTATCGGATAAGGGAATACAGTGATCATGACCAGGTAATACAACGTATTTGGTGAGGGAATACAGTGAAGCGCGGATGAGAGAACACGGTGAATCTGCTCAAGGAATACAGTGTTTGGCGTAGCTGATCAACAAATACAGTGTATGTAATCAGGGAATACAGTGTAGACTATCTGTCCAGGAAATACGTACAGTGTATCTACATCATGCCCTCGAGCACTGCACCGTCTCAACACTATGCCAAGAGGCGCATACTCAGAGAGGAGTGTCCACAATGGAGGTGGGGTCCCCGTTGTTGACGGGGAGTGCCGTCAGATGAGGGGGAGTGCCCCGAATCACCAGGGGGGGGGCGGTTTGGGTGGGGGGTGCCCGTTAGTCGCACGTGGTGCCTGTTGTGGGGGGGGGAGTGCCCGTTAGGGCGGGGGGGTGCCCGTTTGAGACAATTTTCCGTATCAAGGGGGTGCCCGTATCCTGCTACAAGTCTTCGCAAGACAAACAGCGCCCTGAGTTTGGCCTAGTGGAGCAGATAAGCATGCCTGCTCCACCGGGCCCTTCAGCAACTGAGCCCCCGCGGGTGGGCATTTCTCCGCATCCACTGGTCCGATTGGGGTGCCCGATGGCTCATATGATAGCTGTGGGCCGTGCCAACCCAATGCAAGCCTTCGTAGGACAAACGATGTCACGCGGATGGAGTTTGGCCCGGTGGGGCAGATAAGCATGCCTGCTCCACCGGGCCCTTGAGCAACTGAGCCCCCGCGGGTGGGCATTTCTCCGCATCCACTGGTCCGATTGGGGTGCCCGATGGCTTGAAGGATAGTTGTGGGTAGTGGCAGCACAATACAATCCTTTGCAAGACAAACGACGCCCGGTACATAGATTTTGACCTGGTGGAGCAGTCAAGCTTATCTGCTCCACCGGCCCGTGAGCCACTAAGCCTCTGTGGGTGGGTGTTTCTCCGCACCCACTGTCCGATCGGGGTATGCTAGCTGTGGGCCGTGCCGACACAATGAAACCCTTGGTAGGGAACATAGCGCACGTTATATAGAGTTTGGCCTGGTGGAGCAGTTAAGCTTATCTGCTCCACCTGCCTGTGAGCCACTGAGCCCCAGTGGGTACGTGTTTCTCCGGATCCACTGGTCTGATCGGAGTGTCCGATGGCTTGAATAATGGCTGTAAGCCGTGCCGACACAATGAAACCCTTGACAGGGCACATAGCACCCTATACATGGAGTTTGGCCTGGTGGAGCGGTTAAGGTCAACTGCTCCACCGGCCCTTGAGCCACTGAGCTCCTGCGGGTGGGCATTTCTCTGCATCGACTGGTCTGAATGAGGTGCACAATCGCTGGAATGATAGCTGTAGATCGTGCAAACACGGTGAGGACAGAGTTAGGCGCGGTTCAGATATGGCGGGAGGTATTGCGGGAAAATTGACATTCACCTCCCCCTCCCAGGATGCTGCGGACCCCCCTCTGTTGACTATATATCTGCGGGAACATATCGGATGGGAGTCTCCGATAGCTTGAAAGAACGACATGGACCGTGCGGACACGACGCGGGTCATTTGAGACCAATTGGAGCTGTGTGGATGGAGGGTCGAGACGTTCACTGCTTTTTGACGTGCTGCGGAACCCCCTTTTCAGCATATCTCTGCAGCCACCGGTCCGATGTAGCTTTCAAGTAGCATTTCCGATAGATGTAGTCCATACCTACACGATTCAATTGGTTTGAGGTCGATTGGAGCTCTGTGGGTGGAGACCTGCCTGGTGGAGAAAATGAGAGGTTACTCCACCGGGGGGGCAAATAGCATTGCCGTTACTAAAACGCTATTGAGTACGGATCTGAAAAGTACTTTTGAAAAACAAGCGTACGTCCTCTTAGGCTGTAGTCGAAGTTGCTTTTGAAGTACTCACTCAAGGATATATCAAGGTTGAGTAAATGTACTCGAGTAATAGGGCGCTTCGCGGCGTACCGCTTCGCGGTCGCTACGCTCGTAGGTTGCATGGCGATGGCAGGTGTGCGCTGGTGCAGTTTTGACATGAGAGGAAAGAAGAAGTAGTCTATTACAGCAGTCTTCTTGTCCTGTTAAAAATTTGTTGTGTGCTCATCATGTGTTCGAAGAAGGGCGAGCGAAGACAGAGTCCAGACAGACGCACAGTGGTTTATTTGAAGTTTGCGACGGGGCCGGAGGATAGTGAGTAAAACATAATAAAACACAACCGCCGCAGAAAAAGTAACAACGTCTACCACAATATTGTAAGTGTCCCAACATTACTACAAATGTCTGTTATAACGGAAAACAAATGTATGCGGCAGTCTACTACGTGGTGTAGTAGTAGTAGTGTGTTTAAAGGGGAGGAGGAAACAATATAAATGATGAAAGGGTAAAAAATCCCAGAGACAGAGAAAGTAGTTCAGTATACGGGTCCGGAGATGAGAAAAGTCAAAATCGGGTCGAGGCTCAATCCCATATTTTGGGTCGAAGGACCAACCGAAGTCGTCCGTTTTCTTAAAAGACACTTCTTATTCGTTTGGACTGTTGCATCCTCCTGATTTACGTATTTCTTTGTTTCTTATTTCTGGGAAAGAATACAACAGCACACCAAACATTCATGCAGCACAAGGTGATAAGCACAGCCCGCGGAGGCGCAGAGTAGCTAGCAGGGAGGCGGGGGGGGGGGNGGGGGGGGGGGGGGGGGGGGGGGGGGGGGGGGGGGGGGGGGGGGGTGTGACAATCGTCACTCTTCTTCTCCCCCCCTACGAAAAACAACCAATGTGCACCTATGGGTGAGTACAGAGGGGATGGGAGCGCGGAAGGAGCAGCAGTGGGGCGTCTCTAATTATTCGCCGCTAATTATTGGACACGTTTCCCCAGCAAAACGCTTCACAATGTATTGGAGGCGGGGGGGGAGTGTACTCATAGTCGTGCATGCCGTAGTCGTTAGACCATTGACCTCGCATCCCTACAAAGCCGGGACGGAGCACGCCGGGTTCTCACCGGACCAGGCTCTCACAT